CGATCTTCCCACCTGTGGAAGGGTCGGCGGCCTCCGCTGGCGGGGAGACGGAGGCCAGGTCAAGTTGAGGCCGGCGGTCCCACCCACAGTCCACAGACCCAGGATGTGCTAGGGTGGGCGGAGGACTGTGTCCTGTTTGAAGGGAGATGGGAGACGGCGGGTCCCAGGCCTGGGGGTCACCCTGGCTTTTGTAGGGTTCTGCCAGCTCTGCTCTCTTGGACGGGTCTCTCTGCAGACCCCTCAGGCCCAGCACTGTTTCTGCTGCCAGTGCCCGCCCAGCCTCCTCCCAGCCGGCCCTCACCCCCATCCATTTGGCATCCTGAATCCACCTGGCCGGAGGAGCTTCGGAGATGTCATCACATGCCGCTTCCTCCTTCAGGAAGCGCTCCGGGGCCTCTTGTGTGACCCCAAGAGATCCCGGCTCCCCGCCCTCCAGGCCCCTGCCTCTGCTGTGACCTCAGGCCCACCCTGTTCCCTCTGTGTCCGCCTTCTGCCACATGGGCTCGTTCTCTTTCCTTCTGCAAGTCCCACGCCCCAGGGCCTTTGTACCTGTTGTTCTAGCAGCCTGGGGTCCTGTTCTAGTCTTGCGGTCGGCTGCCTGGCGTGGGTCTGGTCGCAGGTGCGCGGTGCTGTTCGTGGAGGCGGTGGGTACAGGCCCGCTGTGCCTGTGTTTGTCTGTCCAGTGAGGACTTGCCCATGTCTCCAGGCCTCGTTTTCCGGCTTGGTGAGAAGGAAGTGGGGCCAACCCATCTTCCTTCATTTGTGCGGCTCAGACTTGTCAGTGCTGACAGCTGCTCTCAGAGCAGAGCGGAGCTTGCCCTGTGGAGGGACCTTGGGAGTGGCCCAACTGGAGCCCCATGTCACGGGGTTAGTGGGGACATCACCTGCCTCAGGTCACACGTCCAGGGGGGGACTGGGCCATTGTTGCTCAGGAGTCTCGGGTCCTGTACCCCTCAGCATGCAACCACAGAGTTTCATGAGCCCTGCCAGGTGGCATCAGCCCCCACCTGCTGTCCCCACCTGCTGTCCCCACCTGCTGTCTTCACAAGGTTCTGATCCAGCAGGACTGGGGCTGTGCAGACAAGGGTGCATGAGGCCCTTGGGAGAAGCTCCTGTGGGTTAGGGGAATAAGGGGAGAACGGGAGTTTCCCATGTGGAGAAAGGAAGGTGTGTGATGGGGACCCCTCTGGTCTCACCACCTCTGGGTAGCGCTCTTGACCCCCCGTTTCCCACATTTCCTGGCCTCCCAGGGTACCCCCAAGGCCCCTGTTCTTGAGGCTGCCTCCCTTGCACTGTGGAGCTCTGTGCCTTATCGTAGGTGTCAAGTCTGGGTGTTCCTGTGGCAAGGGCAGGCCTTGGAGCTCACCCTGAGTCCTGGCACTGGCCCTGTGACCTGGGGCCAAAATGGGTGGGTGAGGGACTTGAAGCTGGCCCTGCTTAATTGGGTGCCCAGATGGGAGGGCCACATTCCAGCCTCCCAGGTGGGGCTGGACCTCCTGGAGGGGGCACCACCACCACTGCCTGCCCAGAGGAGTGGGAAACTGAATACTGTATGCCCAGGTGTCTCTCTGGGGATGGGCATGACCCACATGAGCTTTGGTATCCAGACACATCACAAGCAGAGCTTGTCCTCTGAGGCTGGACCAGGCCCGGGTGTCTTCCAGTGGGTCTCCTCAGTGTCTTTGACTTGGACAGGTAGGGGCTTCCTCCTGCCTGGGTGGCATGTGAGACCCGCGCACCGGACATCGCCCTTACTGCTGTCCCACGCTAGCCTGCCCGCTGGTGTATCAGAACGGATGTCCGAGGAGTTAATGGATCCCGCGGTGTCAGTCCCGAAGGTTCCAGCTCCACACCGTGGCTGGGGCATTCTCCCTTACTGACTCCGTGTGGGGATCCTAGGAGCAGCCCTGGATTCCTCAGTACCTGCGTGCATTAGCCCTGGAAAGAACCCTTGCTTGGGTTTCTGAGCTTTCTTGGATGGCGGAATTTTGGGAATCCTTGCGCTCCGGATCCCATGGGCCTTCTTTGGCTGGAAGAGTGTCTCGTGGTAGATCCATGGAGCTGGGCCCAGGGCCGCATCCTACAGGCTCAGGAGCCTAAGCACAGCCTGCCCCCACCCCAACTGCTGGGAGGGTCTG